GGGGAATTTCGCGGATAACAGAATTGGGTAAAATACTTTTTAAAAGTATTTAGAATATAATAAAATACGAATGCGCGGGAGAGTAGCGGAAGAGGTATTAAATATGTAGAAATATAATATCATCTATTCCGTAGATAAAACACGAGTATACAGGTTGATTTTTTTTTTATCGTGAACCGGTAATTTTGTCGAAAGATTTTTATAAATCGCATAACATTTATTTTTAAATGATAAATTCAAAAACTCTTCCCCAATCCTCCGGTCAAATCTTTAAACTGTTGTAAATCTGATATTAACGTTATATACATCGAAATTTCTGGGAAAATGCCCTTCTATTTGAATCTTCGATCGAAAGCGAAGGGGAGGGGTTGTTGTTTAAAAAAACCAAAAGGGATAATCATTTTAGATATGGGTAACAAAAATGGAAAATAGTGTTAAAATAAAGTCAAAAAAAAATCGAATTCACTCCGAAAACCCTCCGCGGAAATCGGCGGTTAGGTATTAAACGAATGATTATCATTTATCGGCGATGATGGTCCGAAGAAAAAAAAAAAGACCAATTTTGGAAATTACCGGAGGATAGTACGTTATATTCGTAGACATCCAGACTGAACGTTTAGCGTAAAAACTCGTTCCGACGAGAGGAATTTAATTTTAAGGGCGGAAATACGCGAGCTTATAATTAATAAACCGAGTGTTTTAATTTTTTGTCTTAAAAAATTCCACAAAATGCGACCGCGGAATCGAACAAGACACGGAACACCTATTAGAATGCCAAAATAAGCCCATTATCGTGCTCAAGAGAAGACCTTTTAGCAGCAACGCCAAATGCAATTGAAGTGGCAAAATTCTGGTCAGGGACAATCTAATCGAACTCTCGAAACAACCAAAGCACTGAATATTTGACAACCGTGTTACCATATTTTGACATTAATTTTTAAATCCCTTTAAATGTACTCGTATATTTATTTGTTCTATATGTATTTTAATCTTAAATTATATCTATGACCAATTACCATCTGGCCGAAATCAGTCGTACTGTGGTTGTTCGACACAAATAAAAAAATGAATTGGTTGTCCAATAGGAATGCAAATATGTTCACTCTCTCGAACCTGCAGGCTTTATACCGGTCTATCTCTCTCGATCCGTTCCTCAAACCTAACCAAACCTAACCACGCCTCCCAGTCCTCGGGGCGAATGTTCCGTCTGGTCGTATGTAAGTCTATGGTAATAATATTATATGTGTTCAATTATCGTACGCGCGGTTATCCCTGGAATTTATACGGTACCCCCGACGCCGCCGTCTCCAATGTTTTGGACGTCAAAGTAAATTGATAATACCGTTCAATGTTAAATACCGCCGTCGGTTATTTATGCGCGAATCCTGTGCACGGTGAACGCTAAATAATCGCAACGATCCATAATCGCGCGCCGAGCTCTCTCCGCCTAATCTTCATAAAACGAAATGTTCATAAATTAATCTTTTTAAAGTTCAGCTCCGTATTATACGTACACCTATATTATTATTATTATTATTATATATGGTGCAGCAGTATCGCCATTAGTGTCAGCGGATTTCCGAGCAGTTTCAAAACGAGTAGGTTGAAAAATCGGCAGCAGCGACGGGAAATAATATTATAAAGTTACCGTAATTAACGGGACAACCGTCAACGGTGCCGAGTGCAGGTGTCGTTCGGTACATAACACAGCACTGCAAACTTTGTTTAATAATAATGTTATCATGAATAATAATAATTATAATTATTATTATAATTATAATATACTCAGGATGGGTGGATGGGTGTGTTTTTTTTATTGATTTCCCCTTGAGTCAAGGGGGAAGGGTGGGCACGGATTCGAGGTCTATCGGTTTCGGGGGGACCGTCTCTTTCAATGAAATACGTTTTTATCTCGCGATCGTAATCGTTTTTGACGTTCCAGTTTAAAGGCGCCCACCAGGTGTGTCCTCCGCCGCACTTGTACATCAGTGGTTATAGTAAGAGCGTACGGAGGTGTTAAAATTATCGGTCCTCTTGAGTTTAGGAGACCCCGAAGTTGGGGGAGACGCTCCAGTCGGTTTCGCGGAGACGTTTCTAATGCTATTTTAAAAACTCGAAATAGTTTTATTAAAAATAAACTCGCTTTTATACTTACCTGACATTTCGGGTTTGTCCGCGTTACGCACAAACGTAAGTGCTCGCCGTACCAAACCATCCCACGGGCGATTACCCTCGTCCGGTTTTGGATCATTAACCGCCCGCGGCCAGCGTCGCGTGCTTTCTCGTAGGAAAGACATATTTAAGGTCAAAGATGCTGGGACGTCATCTAGTGTCCCAACTGTCCAACTGCCATGTAGCAGGCTTTCGCATACTGGAACGGCTGTGCTGCGTCAATAATTTGGTGTCGAGGGCTAGCGTCACCTTTACTTGTCCGCGATACTATGCACATATCAGTGCCGTTCCCTTTGGGTCAGAATAGCCCGCGCGAAATACTCGAGAGCCCCGAGGCGCACAGGGCTTCAGTAAATTGGGAACGTAGCTCGGCGTGCAGTGGTCAGTGTAAAAGAATATGTTACGAGTCTTCCGTGAGGGACACGTCACTTATGGCAAATCGGTGCAGGTCTTTAATACTTACCTACGGGATTGCCTACGCAATTAGATTTTGTTCTTACTTTGTTTTTACTGAGCAGACGTATGCGTAGGATAATGGTATTCGAGAAAGACGAATGCAGTTTATTTCAAAACACTATTGTATACAATTTTCATGAACAAAATATGTATGCCAGAGAAAAATATTTTGAAAGTCTCCGTGAAAATTTGGTTAGGTTTAGTTAGTTCTCAAAAACTGCAGTATCCCTGTGAAGTTTTCCCACCTAATCCACTGACGTATATACAGGTCGTTACGCGAAGATCTGACACCTGAAATAACTTTTTTTCCGTTCATTATTTTTAAGTTTTTTTCGTAATAACTTATCGAGTCTTCTGTGCCAAGATTCCTGTCTAATTTACACTTTGTATTTTATTTTAACACGCATGACATAGCGAATTTGCATTTAACACAACCGATTGGATTACTTTTAATTTTGATATTCGAGCTAATTGACTTCTATACATATTATTAAACGTAAGAAGATAGTTTCCCGCGGTGCGCGTGGAAATTTTTCGCGTGAATTGTTTAGCCTTTTTGAATGGTGCAATTTCACACACACACACTCGCATCTCGCTTAGAAATTAAAAGAACGAAAAAAATAACCTATCTACAAACACGGACGTAATAATATGTTCTTCCCATTAAGTACGGCAATAATACACGAGAATACGTCAATGAACTCGATTATTGAATTGGACAGCCAAAAATTGTTTCTATCGACCGCTCATTTACGTCTTTTACTAAAATGTATTGTGTATAATATCGCACTGGCATGTGGCGGTGTTTCGAGCGGGAAAACTAATAGGACGGTTCTTGCGAGAAAGTGGTCAAGTCAAAACTTACGATTGTTCTCGCGAAAAACTATTTCATATTTGTACCTAACCGTTTACGCACATGACTGTAACAACATGAAAACCATTTTTCCGCCGATCACTACAATGTAACCACTAGAGTACTAGACGCAGCTTTCCTTCATAATCAATTATTAATAACAACACACGCCGTGCGGCGCTGTAATCCAACGACGTTGGACTAAATACTCTCGTTTTTTTTTTTTTCAACGTTTTTTCTTCATCATCTACATTACGGTTTGGTTAAACGTTTGCCGATATAATCTAGGCGCATCATTTTCTTCGACAACGTTATCGTTATACGAGCCGCGCAAAAAAAATTGAGTCCGATTCCGTTTCGCGACGTCGGGTGAACGCCCGCCGGACCGCCATTATACGAAAAACGTAATAATAAATATACCGTATACTTACACCTACAGGGCGTCATATCCGTCGGTTAATAACTCTGCTAATATTCATTTAGTATTCAGTTTTTTTTTTCAATCGGGTTTTGCGACAGGAGGACACCGATTCGTTAGTTCGATTTCACACCGATTTTCTAGAAATTAAAATGGCTATTGCTGAGTTTTGTATTGATAGGGTGCATGCATGCGCGACGCATACAACATTTTTGAGAATAATATCTTTTACGAAATGGCCGCTTTAAAAAGCGATAAAAAGTATTCGTTTTTTTTCAGTGTTTAAGTGACGATAATAAAAATTGTACTTTTCCCTACACATGTGTCACAAAACCCGATCGACGAGAAAAACGAATATTGACAGAGTTAGTCGACGGATAACGCTGTAGGACACCCTGTAGATGCATATTACACACTGTTTGTGTAATTGCGCCGGCGGCGGCGACGAGAACGTACTGCATCCAGTGACGCGACAACAATATCGTTTATCGCGTAAAACCGGTTCAGGCCGATCGCGTGCGTAACCGGACAAGACGCATACCTACCGCGTATAATATTATACCTAGGTAACCGTATAGAATACCATACGTTTTGCATTTCGCAGGGCAATTTTTTATTATTATTGTATATTTTTTGTTTTTACTATATTCCTAAATGACGTTTTCGACGGACGGCGGCTACGACGGTTACGAATTATTGTAATAGGTAACCGCATACGATTCCCGGAAACGAACGTTATTTCCGCGGCGTGATAAAAAGTTCCTGCGGCGCTGTTTAAAAATGCAAAAATAAAAAAAGCTACGAGGTTACCGCGAGGGCATTGAGCGTTTTCAAAAAGCGTTTTGGCCTTTTCGGGCAGCGGTTTTCGAGCTTTTCGACAGCGCGGCATACTGCGTCTTCTACAAAATTCTCGCGGTACGAATATCATATTATCTGGCTCGGGTGTTCGCGAGAACACGGGCAATTTTTACTTGGCGTTTTCCGTAAATGCAATAAATTAGTCATTAAAAGCCGCAACCGTTTTATCACATGTTCCAAAACGTTTGTTAAAAAAGAAACTTTATTCCACCGCTTTTCATCTCCAGGAAACTCGAATTTCGATTATTCTGTTGTTGAAAACGCAATTAGTTCTTCACTAAAATCATAATAGCGCGATAAAGTACGGCTGCTTGACAACCGTCTTATAGCATCACTGTGAAAAAGCAATTTTGTGTATTCCGAATCCGTTTCTTGGCAAAAGTGTTCAAACAACCGCGACTTAAGTGAACTAATTTTAATATGATTTATCACTTTCACAACGTGGTCCAAAACTTCCCCTAAATCACCCATCAACGATTTTGTCACAAAGGCTTCTCTGTGAAAGAAACAATGAGTAAACATTAAATTTGCACTACACTTTTTCATTATTGATAGATTCAAGTACGCTCGTGGTACACCGTTTGAAAACCATTGTTTTAAGGGATAAGATTCCTTGTCCGCCATCGTCCTCACTAAAGTTTTCAATTCTGGCCGCAAGGTATCTCCGCAGCCAGCGTTTCATCGTTCCGTGACCCACATTTTAATTTCTTTGCGACAAATGTAGTTCTTCTTCAAGTAAGCGAAATTGTTAGGTTAAGTTAGAAGTTTAGAAACCACGTGAACAAGTTCCGCGGCAGGTTCGTAGTAGTACGTATTATTGGTACTACGTGGATGGTCTTTCTGTAAAAACCATACTTTAACGTCTTCACGCAAGTGAAACTAAAACAATACTTCTTATCAGAATTTGGAAATGACTTATTGTGCGTTGTACAACTGTTTTCATCATGCACAAATATTATGGTTCTGGTTTTTAACTGTCCAAATATTACAGCGTCTTTAGCTCTTGTAGAAAGTGATTTTAATCAACTACGAAATGAATGCAAATTAATGTCATTAGATAGATTGGTTGTAACTCATTTAAAGCTTTAAGTGGCTTAATAAAGTTAGCGTTTGATAAAATTAAATATAAATAGAATAATGGGGACAGGTGCAGCTACTGTTATAGGTGATCTAATTTATACCTGTTAGCAATGATAAACCATTTATTACGAAAAAACGATTCTGAGCTGAGTTCAGTTAACAGTGATGCTTTATCAACAATATATACATGTCAAATTAAACAGGTTTTATTTAATAATATTTGTTTATTATTGTATCGATTTTATCGGTTTTCCTAAGTTTTTTCCCGATTATTCACATTTGCTGAGAAAATTGAAAAATTACCTCTTTAAAGTACCCCCCTAGTAAAATTTCTATTTAGAAAAATGTTTATTGTTATACGTTGGAGTGAAATTGCTAGTGAAAAAGTTGTGCACAGAAAAAAAAGTTTATAAAAAATTAACAACTTTCTAAAACCTTAAGCTAAAACCATAAGCTTCTTCGCTCCATTCAGGATATAAAATGTTAAAATAGTCAAATCAATTAATTTTAAGCACAACGAGGAATGTTTGGTTGACACAACGAGTTGAGCGTATCATGGTAGATTTTTGTCAGCATTTTAAATTCAAATTTTAAGAAAAACGTGAAAATCCCGGCATTTCAAAATAATATGTTTGACTGAATTTCACTCAGATTCGATTTTTGTTCACGATGATTTATTATTACCTGTATAGGCATAAATTAATTTAAGCTTTTTATTCCATATACCTTTCCATATTCGCGCCTATAAAGGTGAAACACTCGTCAGTAGTGTTGCTCAGATATGTTTTTATATTCTGTTCTAATATTTGAAAAATCACAATAATCCTTGTAATGTATACCAGTGTTCCCCAAATTTTTTCTCCGTCGGATCCTTTACAGGTAGTAAAAATGATCTCGGACCCTCCTCCCCCCTTAAACCCTTTTATACATCAGCATTTTAGTTTTTTATACTATAGAGTAATTTCCATTTACGTTCGCGGACCTCCTCCGGTATACATGTAAATCTGTCTTAATGTAGTAGTAATTATTATTGAAATCCTGTGGTTTTTTTTTCAGATTTTTTTTCTAATATCTGGGAGTTTGTGCAATTTATCTTAGACTTTTTTTCATTTCAGTCCTGCAAAAATGCTGCTTATGTTATTAATTAAGGCATAGCCGGAGCGGGGCCACCGAGTCCGTTTTTAAAATAGTGTGTTTTCATGTTCTTATGTTACTTCACGGTGTGTGTAGTTTATTTTCATATTTCATTGACCAAATAAGTATATTATTTTATTGGTGTTTGGATATATTTTTAAATTTAATTTAAGGAAATTCAACTTTAACAGTTAAAGGGGGTTATTTTACCCAGGCCGTGCCTATGGGGGATACGAGAGGTGCCCACGCGCGGGGTGCTATGACGATAGAGGCGTCGTTTGAACAATTTTATAGTTCTGTAATTGAATATTTTTATAACAGACGTATGAATGATTGAGCGTTTTTTCTTTTTTTTTTTTTTTTGCTCGCCGTTAAATTTTTCCGACACCGGGTGCCGATTTCACTAGGCACGACACTGATTTTACTCTACGTCCAATTCAGAAATTCTGACTACGCCACTGATTTACACGGAACTATAATAAACACGTATATGTATAATGTAGTTTTTTTTTTTTTAACTTATGACAGCGCGCGTAGGGCAATACCGCCGTACGGTATTATATGTTATACGTACGATGTGCGTACCTATTTAAAATATCATATCACGATACGATCTTAGGTATCCGGATATTTACTGGAAATGCATAATATATTGGCTTCAATATTATGTAGGTAAAGTTATAAATTACTTCGGAAAACATGTACAGAATCCCGACCCGAGAAAACGACCGATTCACGGTAAATTCGTGCCTCGCAGACGCAGTACAGACCATGTACAGCGTGATGTTTTTCTCATGATCTATTTTTTTGGAATATTAAGTGAATTGGATTTGTGTATTTTAGATTCTGAGTGGAGCTAGGAGTGTATTGGTTTTAAAATGTTGTTTATTTTTTTATTTTTTTTCCCCGTCGACAACTTTTCTATCAGCAATTTTAATCCGATTTGCAATGATAGCATTTCTTCTGAAACAAAATTTAACTGGAGTGATACTTTAAGGAGGTCATTTTTCGATTTTCTCAAGTGTTTGCAATTAATGGGTAAACCGAGGAAACGGGAGAGAAACGGGTACATTATTAAACAAATATCATTAAAGAAAATGTTTAATAAATACGTAATAATTTGTCCATAATATTACATAATATATGTTGCCATATTGTTGACAAAGCAACACTATCAACCGAACTCCGGTTAGAATCGTTTTTTTCGTTAGCAATAGTTGATCGTTGTGAACATATATATATATATATATATTAAATTTCTCCTCTAGTACTTTCTCAACTTCTCGTCTACGACAGCGGCGAAGTATGTTCGTCTTTTTTGAATTCACGGCCCAGTTATGGAGTGGAGTGATTGAGATGGATTTCCCCTAGAGCGTTTTTTTCATGTTAAATAATGAACCAAGGTGTGTACATATTTGTATTTATGATGTGGCTACTATCATAAATACAAATAATATTAGTCTAATATTAGTGTTATGCATAACATAGTTTTACCAATATAAAATTTATGACAACTACATTTCAGTTTATGTACTCCTCGTAATGACGAATAGGATATATTTTCGCGAAGTTCTTAGCACTATAGTTTACTATTGATTAATTACTTTAGATAAATTTTATACGTTTTTCTCTCTTTTGTCGAATTCTAACTTGTTCAAATTAACTAATGGTAAGCCGTAAACTGAATATGCCAAAATGTTTTGTTTTTTTTCGTAATAAATTTATAACTTTTTTGACCTCAATTGTGTTCTTTGTAATAATAATATCAAATTGTCCACGGAAAAAAATAAACAATTTATCAAGCTGTATATTGTTATAATATTATACTATAACGGACGATTAAATTAATGAAGAATGAAACGAGATCATTTTTTTGACATAAAAGTACATAATATATTTTATTATCTACATAATATTGTTACAATTTTATATATGCTGCTTAAATACGGATTAAGGATAAAAAATTGTAATTATTTACATTGATAAATTGTAATATCTATAGTGTCGGTATAATATTATTTTATTGATGAAAATCTTTTGTATGATATTCAATATATTGGGTAAGGGCTATCTACCCAGACAATTCGTGCAAGGAATAATATTATATTGTATACCTATTATATTAAATATTGATGTATTGCCCGACAATACCTAGTTGATTATTATGATAAAAGTGGTTGAGAACGAATGTCAAGTGTTATGCATATTATGTTCAACTATGTTATAGAGTCAACTGAACGAAATTCGATTATTTAATTTTGTATTTTCTTTACTTGTAGAAGCCTGAAAATAATTGTGTCGATTTCAAGAGTAACTACACAGTATACATAGACTATAGAAGAATTCGTGCCGCATGTTCATTGTTACGTCAAAACAAAAAAGAAGTACTTCAACGGATATATCGGGAAAATGTTGTGAACGCAACAAGAGAAAAACTACAATATTGAACATAACTAAAAATGTAAAATTATCTTTAATTTATTTTTAAAATGTAATTTAGTTCTCCAAGTGCACTAATAATTGATTAAAAATTCTACAAAAATCCTTTATTGTTATTTATTGATTGGAGTAATATTTTTGGTAGAGAAGTTGTGCACAGATATAAAAAATGAGCACACATCTTAGTAAAACATTCCATCCTACATTCGTCGGTTTAAAAGCGCACATCGTAGCGAAATCAATACATTCATCGCTGTGCTCAGAATCTGACAAAACAGGCAACAAAATAGTTTATTACTAGGATTTCGGTTTCAATTTCGAATATTGCCAAAACCGAAACGCAGCGCAAATTGAATTCGTACGCGTGATAGTATTTTATTGATGATAAATAATAAAATATAAAGGAGACTGCGGTGGGCTAAAAAACCTTAGAAACTCAAAACAAATTCCTGGTGATGTGTACATAATTTTTTCGGATACGCCTTTAACGTAGGAATCTGGAGTACCTATACTTAATATATTGATAGAACTCTATAATATACATTCCGAGTGGACCGACGAGGAAAGATGAATAATATATTAAATCTTTGACATGTACTACAAGTCTTGAAAGTTACTATATTGGCAATGCCGTGTGAGTCTGATGGTGTTGCGCGTTTAGCATTTTTATATGTTCTATATAATATTCCTCGCGTAACGGTGTTCAGGTGTTCCGGTAATAATTTATTATCGATTCGAATTTCGAATTTGTAGTCATGATTTCAGTGTCGATAAACGTCAAGTCTTTGAACTCGGGTATACTTACTTTATAAAGGCGTCTTCGTAGATAGTTGTGAAACGCGATTATTTGAAAAAATTGTATCTGATTGTAATATTTTATATTAATAATCACATCTGTGCCCTATAGTAGTAATATATTATATCGGAATTACGATTGATGTCATTATTATCACATTACCACGACTAGCAGT